TGTTCACATCGCAATCTTAAATGCTGAACGAAGGCTAGAAGGAAATTTACAATTTTTTTCTTCCTACACATTGTCAGGGGCGTTGGAAATTAACATTTCTACGCCAAATTCATTGCATAGAGAAGAAACTCACATTTCTTCAAACACATTGTCAGGTGCGTTGGAAATTAACATTTCTACGCCAAATTCATTGCACAGAGGAGGAATTCACATTTCTTCAAACACATTGTCAGGGGCGTTGGAAATTCACATTTCTACGCCAAATTCATTGCATGGAGAAGAAATTCACATTTCTTTAAATACATTGTCAGGGGCGTTGGAAATTAACATTTCTACGCCAAATTCATTGCACAGAGAAGAAATTCACATTCCCTCAAACACATTGTCAGGTGCGTTGGAAATACGCCAAATCAACTAACTTCATTGAGGAAGAGAACCACATCATTGCAGCAACGCCACCGTCCACCGTGTATCCAAACTTTCCACTGCTCCTATCAAATAAATTTATTGTAGGACTGAACCTGGAATCCGACGAGCAACACGTCGGCCAGAAAGGTTCGTTGCAACACCCAGACCATTACGGATTTCAGCGACAAGATGGCACGACTATTAACCAACCTAAACAATGCAACGTTACTAAAATGGAAGGTAAACGCAACATCTAGTGAAGGCAAGATGATATTACTTTGCAATGATGAACACGCTCTTTTAGCGTACAAAAAAGGCCTAAATGCCCTATACTCTGAAACGATCCAAGCATCGCAACCGAAATCTTTCCAAGAAGCTAGGAAAATGGCAGAAAGCTTAGTGTTCTCCGACCAAAATCAACGTGTTTTACATTACCGTGGCAACACACTGCCACAAAATAACTTTCAGAGAAGAAATAATTCAAATTCTCTAGGTAGATATAACAATTATAACAACAAAAATAATCATTTTAGAGATAATCAAAGAAATCAGCATAATATTAATAACAATTACAATCACAGAAATCAGTATAATAATAATGGTTAAAGAAACCAACGCAACAATACTGGCGAAAGAAACTAAAATAATGGCCAAACCATAATAACATGCAAAGAAACCAATACCAAAATAATTATTATAGAAATACAAATCGTAGATACATACATGCGATGGACGCCCAGGAAAACTACAAGCAACCAGAGGTGGGAATGGAGAACCCTCCACTGGTTCGAAATTAAATACTGTAAAAATTTTAAATCAAACCCTGTCTAACTATATTTCAATATTCTGTTCTGAATTAAACACTAATATAAGATTATTAATAGATCCTGGTGCCGAAGTGCCTATTATAAAAAATCTTAACGTTGACTATAACTCTCACAATACATATAAACTTTCAGGTATAACGAGTGAACATATACAACCCCTAGTAACATCCAAGTTAACTTAACTTTTTGAAGAAATATGGATAACTCAAACTTTCGCAGTAGTAACATTTGGGAAGTATTTTGGGAAGAGATTTTCTAACAACATATATGGGAGTCCTTGACTATTATTCTTTTACTTTAATCATACAATCAGGCAATAAACAAGCAGAAACACCAATAGTATGCAAACCAATTACTATTGCAAAATGCAATATATCTTTTGCAAAATGTAATATATCTTTTGCAAAATGCAATATATCTTCTAACGCCATCGACATTCATTGGTCGTGGGTAATCCTCAATTACTTTATATTTAGCGGGGTCAGTTTTTACGCCATTCTCAGTGATTAAATAACCTAAACATGTCACTTCATGTTTTAAAAAGTTACACTTCCCGGGATTTAATTTGAGATTGGTATCGCTTAGTCATTGAAATACTTTTTCCAAATTAATGTTGTGATCTTTTTCCAAATATTATGATGTCGTCAATATATAAAAATGCTTCAGTTTCCAAGCCTGTTAATGCTAGTGTCAGCATTCTCTGGAAACTGTTTGAAGAAATTTTTAGGCCAAATGGTAGTCTTTTAAATTCATAATTTTGTACAAATTTCCAACTTACATACAATGGCTTTATTGTTGTTTAGGAATCCTCTGCAAGAAATAAAGTCCATTAAAATTAACATCGAGATAATAAAAAAATACTTACCTGAAATCATTCCTCAGCACACTCGTCTGCAGCATACTTCAATACACCTATCCCCCGATTTACACGGTAGATACGTTCCTGAGAAAAATGTGTAAATCGAAAATTAAAATTTTCAAGTCAAAACCGTGTAAATCGAAAAGCTTGCAGAAAATGTATAATTTTGCTATTTAACAGTTGTGATTTTTTTCAATATTTTTAGGTGTACACGGAAATAAAAATAAAATGCATTGACAGGTTAAAATATGTAATATGTTACGGAAACACTGTTTTTTTATTTAATTACAATACATTAAACAGAAGAACAAAAAATAAAATCAAAGGTGTTTTATTATCCTTCATCACTATCAGAAATTACTCTCATTCTTTTTTTTTGGAATCGAAGGTTGGAATTCACTTTCATCACTCGAAGTTATTTGTGCCGATTCGATGTTTGAAGCAGAAATATTTACATTCTGAGAGGTGGTAATAAAATCGGTTATTAACAATTGCTTCGAATTTTTTGTAAGATCTTTGTAAACTTCTTCATATTGAGCCAAGCAGCGATTTATGTCACGTTGGAATCGTAAAGCCCTTTCAACGTTTGTGTCATTTTGTATAAAATGATTACCCAGCTTTCTTCCCAATGCGAGTCCTTCGCGGATGACTTTAGCAGTGAATGTTACTGATACTAATTCCTCTTCATCAGATTTGTCAGACTCACTTTTGCAAACTAAGTTAACTAAATAATCCTCACTTAGTTCTGTATCAGCCATTAACTCTGCGATATCATCATCAGTAAAATCATCAAAACCTTCTCCGCCCAATGAATGCGCCATCTGTACTATCTGCGAATATTCATCATTTAACGTTGAAATGGAATGTTCATTTTTGACTACATTTGGCCACAATTTTTTTCAACAGCTATTGAGCGTTGCTTGCTTAATCGCAGTGTATGATAAGGCGATATGCTTCACACAGTCTAATATTGTAAAATTTTTCCAAGCACTAATAACTGTTAAAGATTCATTGTTCTCCATTTGTTCCAAAATATATGTAAAGGCTCGTTTTATGTACAAAGCTTTAAAAGTAGAAATTATGCCTTGGTCCAATGGTTGTAATAATGAAGTTGTATTTTTTGGTAAAAATTTTACTCCAACGTTCTCATATTCTAGATCTTGCGGGTAACCCGGCGCATTGTCAATTAACAAAAGCACTTTAAAAGTCAATCCCTTTGAGCTTAAATATTTTTTGGCATCTGGGATAAAACATTCATGAAACCATTCAGTAAACATTGCAGCAGTAACCCACGTTTTCTTATTAGCCCTCCAAAAAACGGGAAGATTATTGATGTTTACTCCTTTAAAGGCACGGGGCATTTATGATTTGTTAATCACTAAGCATTGGTACAGAAAAGAATTGTTATGCGATCTTTTGCTGCTTTATGACCACTAGCCGATTTATAAAATTTTGAGACATAAGTCCTTTCAGGCATTTTTTTCCAAAATAACCCTGACTCATCAGCATTGAAAACCTGATCATGGGTGTATAAATTGTCGTTAACAATTTCTGCAAAATTTGCTGGATATTCTTGGGCTGCATCTACGTCGCCAGAAGTCAGTTCATCTTTTAATTTTAAGCTGTGTAAAGAATGTAAAGTAAAAAAAAACTTATTTGGAAAACCGTGTAAAAGCGAAAACGTGTAAAACAAGTACCGTGTAAATCGGGGGATAGGTGTAGTTAGATGTTCCTATAAATGAATTTAAATTATAAATACCTTTGCACCATCACTTCACGCACGTCACTTGGAGTTATTTAAACAAAAGTACATTTCGTTTATATAAATAATTTTATTATATTAATTATTAAACTCCGATTTCTTTAACTAACTTTTTTTATTTTAATAAATTTTAAAATGTAAACAAACATTTGCAAACGTCAAAAACGTTAGAATGCAATTCGATGTAAAAAGATGCAAAAGGAAGCTTTTGTGCAAATGTTTTAAATTGCATTAAGTTTGTTATGAACTTAAACAAGCTGTTGATGTTTTGTTGGCTTGAATCGAACTGAATTAATAGAATCAAACAAAAGCTAACCAAACCAAATCAATTATGCTGAGATATGCATTCTTAAGATAAGTGTGGTGGTGTTTGCCGTATGTAAGTTAATTCCTATAGGAGGAACCATAAGCGCAACATTCTTCATAAAGAAAACAAAGAATACTGTGTGCAGCTTGCCTACAGTGATAATGGCTGAATCAGCATAAACAGTAAGCAAGCTTCAATGCACTTGAAATAGAGTAAACAGGAAGCGTTACTTTGTCTGAAGGATAAATTCCTAAACAAAACTATAAAAAAAAAGTAAGACAAAACTTAATTTGACAAATATGTGGAATAAATCCACATAACACCTCTGCCCTTAAAGAAAGGCAATGACATAGTAATTGACTTTACCTTCAGAAGCAAATCACATCACAACAAACGGGCATGGCCAACCCCAACCTTGACTTCAATTAATCCAAATCAATAACTTTATTAAAATATATATAAAACAACATTTAAATTTTCATATAGGTTTTGTTTAACATAAATAATAAAATTTTTTTTTTATATGATTATATTAACTAATTTCTTTCTTACAGTATATGCTTATCGGATTCAAATTCATTTTATATTTGAAATGTTTTATAATAAATTTACTAAATATTAAGTATATTTATTTATATATTTACCATTAATAATTGTACTTATTTTTAAAATTATTATGTTCAACAGTTACTTCGCCATCAGATTTTTTAGTAGTATATACAACAATATTATTCCTCAAGGGATTTGGCGACTCCTTTTTTACATTAAAACATTTATTAAATATATTTATACATAAATTTCCTTTTATACATTTTATAATAAGTATTATCATAATTATAGTTATAAATAATGACATTAATCCGTACCAATATGAGTTGGAATTCAATTTAATAGAATTAAGAGACTTTGATATAAAACTTTTCTGATTATTTATTTTAATACTTAAATCATCAATATTTTTAATATTGCAAGGTTTTAGTTTAGATAATAATTCAATTTCTTCTATTTTATTAATCTTTATGTTTAAACAGCAATCATCAGAATAACCAAAATATAGGTCGTTAAATACAGTTTTATTTCTGTTATCAGATATTATAATTTTATAATCTACAGTTTCGAACTTACAATTAAAATCAAAATACAATATACCAACTCCATTCAAATATCCTTTTTCTTTAATTTTATTTTGTTTACATTCATATTCATATTTCATTTCATTGGTTACGGCGTACATATATTTATTATCATTTATTTTCATGTATGTCTCTACATTATATGGTATGTATTTCATATGATAACGTTTACTGTTTCGTTTCATAAAGTTATTTAAAACACAATTTTCTACAGTAATAGTTGATTTAGATATTAATTCATTAGCTAACAGATAGTTATTATCAACAACTTCAAAATCATTCAAATTATCAAACATGGCAAAATATTCCTTATCCCTAGATATTAAAAAATAATTATTTTCCTTTTCTAATATTACTTGTTTATTCTTCTCCAATATTGGAACTGGGCCCTGTTGCACCAACACTTTTCACTTTTCACTTTGCAAAATTTATGAGTGACTTTTTTTTGCAAAGTAAAAGTGAAAAGCGTTGCACCAAAGACTTAACATAATTTACTTTGCACTTTGCAAATAAAAATTTTACTGCAAAGTCTTTGCATAAAATGCAAAGCAAAGCGTTGCACCAAAAAATTAGATCACTTTCATTTTGTATTGGTTTTTGAAAGCATTTCGATTCTGTATGTATACTTGTTTTTTGTTTGTTTGATATTTTGATGCTATGAGTACATGATTTATGCATAGTATGTACTTATGAGTTTAATTTTTGTTCAAAATAAAAG